GAGAGAGAGAGAGAGAGAGAGAGAGAAGAGAGAGAGAGAGAGAGAGAGAGAGAGAAAGAGAGAGAGAGAGAAAGAGAGAGAGAGAAAGTGAGGGTCATGTCGGGAAATGAAAGGAAGAGTCGAAAACAACCATACTATATTTATGGCTTCTAATGACAGTGTCGAGCGTAGAGTGGTGAGTGGAATGAAGAAAATTTAACACGGTTCTCACGGTAACGCGTACAAATGGCGAGTGCAGCGTCAACCCGTGGCAGCGGCGCGGCAGGTGTCAGCGTGCATCGTGTGATAGATGAAGTAAGACTGCGGAGCGGGTAGAACGAAGCAACGACACAACAACCACGAAGATAAACGAGAAGAGAAGACGAGAGGTGTGGGCGGGACGAAGGAAAAGATCCGAAGTATAAGACGACGAGGATAAAACCACAGAGAGACACGCCGACGTGATTTCATTGCGAACGAGCAGAAGCGGTTCCATCTGAATTTACGTCGCATTCAGACAGCCGGTATGCGCATGCGCAACGACCCACCATCTTTCGAGGCTCTTGACCAGCTAAAAGATTTCCTCGGGTCCTCTAATATAATTGATCTTTTTGTTGGCCATCGCAGTGAACGGAAATAAGGAGGCATGATCACATCGCCTTAATTACGCGATTACCAGCTTTTATTTCTGATGTCCTCTAATGGGCAGCAGCTAATTATGGCAATTTTCGAACACACGCATACATTCTTGACTCCCGCGCTTTCGCTGGTTCGTGTGTTTCCTGGTTTATTCACCACCGTGTGCGGTGTTTGTCCGAGACAAGACCATCGCTGCTAACACGATATCGCGTGTCTGACAGCAAACAACGAAGCGAAACACGCGCGACATGTACGAAACATACTTGTATAATTCAACGCGTGGCTATACAGTAACCCGTAAAAATCGCGAGCAAAGCTATCACGCTTTGGTATACGGGTTGTATATTGGCAAAGCTAACCCGCTGAGGTTACAATTTGTTATTTAACTAAAGTAGAAATGTCTTTAATCATTGCGCTGTTAAAACTCGTTTTGAGTTCTTATGTACAAATGATTGACTGCAGGGACTGACTGCCGCGTAGGTGCAAATGCGTAGACGACGCTGAGGTAGCTCAGGTAGGAATCTGTCATCACTGACCTGTCCCCTGAGGTTAACGCGGCAGAGTAGAATTAGCGGTTGCGCGGTAGGTGTCCGGTGTCGGCGTCTCTCTCATGTGTACAGACCTGCCCCCGTGCCGTCACACTTGCTTCCTAATGTTAGCTGTTGCTCTACATGCTAGCCTCTACATACACAGGCACTTGGAACGTCTCAATAAAAAAAAGAAGGTAAATAAACACGAAATGTACCAAAGTAACAGTCTTATTACTCCTAATGTTTCTCTACTTTATTTCGCTTATAATCACCTGTAAATGCCGGTCAAATGCTCATCTGCAACACACAAGTACACCGCACGACCGCCATGTGCACAAACAACATGAAAAAGAGATTATGAATGATCTCTTATTCATGTTTGTCAACGCAGCACAGGGCGGGCGTGCGGTGTACTTGTGTGTTGCAGATGAGCATTAGACCGGCATTTACAGGTGATTATAGGCGAAATAGAGTAGAGAAACATTAAGAGTAATAAGACTTCACTTTGGTACAATTTCGTGTTTATTTACCTTTTTTTTTTATTGAGACGTTCCAAGTGCCTGTGTCTACATACCTACTAGCCTATGATATGATGTGATGTGATAGCTGCTGAGATTGCGCCTAAAGTGAAAATTGTGAACCCGAAGCAAAACCAGCTTACGTAAATGGAGACGAGAGTGAGAGGGAGGGAGAGAGGTAGAAAGAGAGAGCAAGAGAAAGAGAAAGAGAAAGAGAGAGAGCAGACGAGAGAGAGAGAGAGAGAGAGATTGTGTGCGTGCGTGCGCTGCGTGCTGCGTGCGTGCGATGCGCGCGCGCGCGTGCGCTGTGTGCTGTGTGTTGTGTGTGTGTGTGTGTGTGTGTGTAAGTGCTGGTGCTGTGTGTGCCGAGGCGGGGTGTGGTGTTGTGTGTTGTGGGCTGTTGGTGTGGTGTGTGTGTGTGTGTGCTGTGCGGCTGTGTAATGTGTCGTGTGTTGTGTGTGTGTGCTGTCGTTGCTGTGTGTGTGTGCAGAGAGCAGAGAGAGAGAGAGGAGAGAGAGAGAGACGATGCACCGATGAGAGAGAGATGAGAGTCAGAGAGAAGAGGAAGAGAGAGAGAGACAGACGAGAGTAGAGAGAGTCAGAGAGAGATGAGAGAGAGAGAGAGGAGAGAGAGAGAGATGAGAGGAGAGAGACCGAGCAGAGAGCACGAGAGAGAGAGAGAGAGAGGGAGAGAGACGACTTACAGTATAATAAGATGTTATCTGCCGGATCTGCCACCGCGTTTTGTCGGAAAGTTTATAACATTAAAAAATATACTCGAAATGCTGCATTGCGATTACAATAGGAATAAAGCGGAGTCATGTGGAGTCAATGAAACAACCAACGTTATAAATAAACGATGGGACATGCTATAGATCGCACGCATTAGTCTACATTTATTATATTTTCTGACGCACCATCAAATCCAACCCTATAAAAATATGTTTGGTGCAAAGCAGAAGGAATGTGTGATGGCAGGAGGGATAAGAACCGGTGTACACGGCAAGGGCGATAACACGCGAGTGCATCAATAGATCAATAAACATGAAGACAGAGTGAGGCGCGCAATAACATTGATTTTCTATCAATAGAATCAATGTTTCTATACTGTTTAGTATGCTTACATCTATCTGTCGACGTCCCTGCATGCGACGAGACTGCTAATACGTGAGGTCAACGAGCAGTTACACTACTTAGCAAAACTATATATAAAAATATGAAATTGATGTGTGCCTTCTGTTCCGAGCCTCGATGTCTGTCGGCAAGTCTTCTCACTGTTTCTTCACTGGGATTTGGACGCCACCATGAGAACCACCGAGTGCGATCATGATCTATAGCCGGCCATTCTTCATGTTATAAGTCTTCCAAGCAAACGGGGGGAACGTGTGGGGCTTGTCTGGTGATGCGTATCTTCGTAAGTCGCGGCTCCAACCGCGTGCGCTATACTCTCTACCTATAACCCCCCAGATGCTAAACCGCACGTTCTAAAACGGGTTTTTTACGACGATACGCTTCTAGAGAGAACAACGCAGCTTCGGAATAGTGTGCCGCAAACGTCGTTCAGGACATCTTAACGTCACATTGAGTATCACTAACATGGGTTTAACTAGCCGCATGAGCTGCTAAAGTCGATCGTAAGACATTGTTTAGCTGCGAAGGTATATGGGGCACGAGGACTCTCATAATACGGCCCTCATATCTACGTCACCTACAAAATCTATTACACACCGTCTTGTATTATAATACAAACATTATAAGTAACAAGTGTCGCAGTACGACAGGGCTCATCTGGTGTCTGGTGTTCTGTTGATATATTCATTTGTGCATAGCAACACGTCTTATACATAAGTCTTCTTTATTCTTGTTTGACTTTCGTAGCCAATTGGAACAAATATATCAGCTACACTTTCGCACCCACCTAATCTCTATGCATTGCAGACACATGTGCATTGCAGGTTGGCAGGCAACAATTATGATTAGAAGCGTGCCAGCCGTGGGCTGGCCCGTGTTTTTGCCTACCAACACGAGCATTCACTGATTCAGCCTTCAGGGTGCTATAGACAGACTGCTTTAGAAAATGATATGATTTAAGGAGCGTAAACCTTGTTCAACAAACATTTGCCTTTGCAATTAAACTGTGCAACTGTAGCCTCACATTCACACAGGTATGGGCTCTAATAATAGCAAAAGCAGTTAAGTCCTTTGTTAACAGTCAACAAATCAATGTTTAACCCTCCTATTGAGGGTCAAAAGGTTATCCGACACTTACTCTTTGCATGTCAGCGGAAAGTACATTTAATGGTCCTTTCAATAAAGTGATAAAAATGGTAGGTCAGCGCTGAAACAAAAAAGTTTTTCAATTGCTCCGTCACACCATGTCCTCAGAAAATGTCTAAAATCTGCCCTGTGCCCCATTGATCTTTGACCTGTGACCTCCAATTTCGGCACAGTGATGGCTTTTCCTACCATGATGCTATACACCGACTATCACGAGCCTAGGTCGATCCGCTTAAATTTGTGCCGCAATTCTGCATGAACTCCCTATACCTTAAGTTAAGGAGGGAATTTTCCCCCTTCTTTTACACCTCTTGACCTTTGATCTTTGACCCCCAGCTTTGACATCCCAACTCGTTTTCGGATTCCCCCCCCCCCACGTCCCAATATCGTAACCGTACGTCGAGCCAACTGTTGACGGACAGACGCACGCACGGACGGCCGGACAGACAATCATGCGATTCTACAAGCTGCACCTGACTACGTCAGATGAGCTAAAAATATGGCATGATGGTATATATTACAAAATGAAATACCAATGAGAATTTTTGCTCGATTCAATAAATTGTATTTTATTTCCACAACAGCAGATAACTGGACTTACCAAACGCAGGCACAGCAATGACAGAAGATTCTACCAATTCATCTTTATCTTACGTGAATTCACTGTGCAATCGACTGAATATCAGCTACATATTACATAGAGTGTCTACGTCTTTGAGCTTATTTATTATAATCTCATGCATGGATTTACTTGCTAACGCCACACTGATCTATAGCATGCTAATAACAGCTTATAACTAAAGCATAGAATCTATCGTCGTCAGACATCTAATTCGCGTGATTTGCTGATTGATCTTTATATATAACATCATAACTCTGCAGGAGCTATTAAGTAATGACCTTGATTGTAACTACATCTAGATTGTAAACTTCATTATAATCAGAAAACTGCAATGCAAGTTAAAACTACCATTTAGCCGTTTAAGCGACTAACGACAACAATTTGACTTCTGAAGACAATACATCATTTATCACAGCTTCTGAAAAGTAACAATATAACATCCCTCAACAATAAAATCTGAAAAAAATTTCAACAACATAAAATCAATTAACAGCCAATCATAAGTGTATTATAGATATACTAGAAAAAATTGTGTCGATGTGTTGGATATGAATGTAAATCACAGCTTGGATGTCAGGTGGCTTCGGTGCTCCAGAGCCTTGACCACAAGTTCTGCAGCCTCGCGGGCCACGCCCCATTGTACCGTGAAACCTGATCCACCGTGACCGTAGTTATGCACCACCTGTTGACAACGACAACAAGCATTAAATAGACAACTAAATATGTGGTAGATGTGGAACACCTAACTTTCTTCGGCTCTAATAAATCACCCTCAATATTTTCTATACACACCTTTACTACTACAGAAAATTAATATGAAGAACTTAATATTGAGAGTAATAATTAAGAGATTGAAAAATTTATAGAAAAAAACAATAAGAAACACAATAATGCGGTATGAAATAGATGGGCTAAACAACTGTCCAAGGTGATTCAGTGTTACCGTACTCATTTCGTATTGACCTCTTTTTGCAGATAAATCTACCTACGAAACACGACCGAATGGTTTTGGATAAGGGATTGTGGATATGTAGTCAATCGTGCCCATTGTTTAAAGATCAAATGTGCAATCTACAGTGACACTATTATTGTAATGTAAACATGTGCAAACAGACCAACCTTGATGTCCCCCGCAGCAGATTTCAACGTTTCCATCTCGAGTCTAACCGTCGGGCGAAACGGTCGCAATCCCACTGCTTCCCTCACCACCTTAGCATCCTAGAGAAATATAGATGTATGAGGCATCAATAGGAAGCTCTGTAGCAGTAACTCATCTTGAGGATTCTACCCATCACTGCATCACACCATTCATGATCTACACGAGTCAATCAAACAGAAATCTATGTGGATTTTGTTCTCAAATCTGGTGATTATTTTCCAGAGAATTCCAGGAGACCTTCAGACTTGGGAGAACGTTGCAGCAGTTTCTCCATATCCTCTGTGACACTTCGGCATCCGGTGTCGTGTTCCACGCCCCTTTCACACCTGTTCCACCCAAGGTAACTATTTCAACCCTACAAGAAAATTAGCAACACAGTTCAACAACCACATCATGAGTTCATAACAACTGTAACTACTATGACAAGCTCTAACTATTTACGTTCTGTAACTAATGTCGCTGATCTAGATCAAACTAAGCATTTATATAAAACACAGCCAATCTTCCTCTAAGTCATCTATAGGTTAGCTTTGTTTCGTGATTACCCAATCAATTTGCAGTAATGCCTGATTTACGATAACCTGATGTTAATGATAACTCGGATTTCAGATATTTGGCCCTAAGGTATGCTCAGGAAAAGATAAATTTGCTTTTACAGAAATTTTTTCAAATGGATTAACAGGTTTTTCTGCTAAAATTATTTGTGTGCTCAATCACTGTCAATAAAATTTATGTTTTACATCAGCAACCAGTTTTTGAAACGCCAAGCGGCCAGCATGGAAATGTGCCACTAGGGTGTTAAACAGCTTAATTATTATCCCGATAGAAAACACCTACACGCGCAGTGTGTATGGAACGTGTATTGAACACCAGCAATCAGTGCTCCGTGTTCATGCAGTATACACCAGTTACTTTGTACTCATTCTTGTTCTGAACTCCCTTTTCCTCTCCAAGAATGATTTATTATCAAGTTACCTTGATCTGATTACATTTAATAATTAAATAATAATCAATATCACATCATGTGTTTGACACTGTTTAGTTATATTAAACAACTGTGCTTGTCATAGGGGAGACTGGGGGATTACCTATTGCCTTTTGCTGCAAATCCACTACTTTCTTAGCACAAGGTATGACTGCGACACTTGCCTTCTTTGTGTATGTATGTATATATATATATATATATTATTATTATTATTATTATTATTATTATATAATTAGGTTTACAGCATATTGAATATCATTAAGTTTAGAGGAAGACTTGTGTTTGGCTAGAGGGCAGACCTACCCAGGAACGATATAAGTATCCACAGTGGCAGATGTTGACATTAAAAAATTCTTCACCCAGGGTGCTATAACCTGCAAGAATGATCGAATTTAACACAGCAAAGATGCACCACAGTTGATGCAGAGGGGTGGCCACTACCATCCCAAGCCAGTTACGAACAATATCCATGCATGTCATACACCTGCCACTGTAAAAAAAATTAAAGCTCTTGTTCTAAAGCTCCTGTAAAAACAAATAAAATGTACAACATTTGAACGCAGGCATTGGTGGATCCAAGAATGAGGTGTTTTCCGAGGTGCTATAAAATCTGCTATTTCATTCTGCTCATGATGTGGCACTCACTAGATTGAGTAATAATAAGGAAAATGACATCACAATAGCAGCATTGGCAGCAGACAATGTTAGATTTCCTTATTATATTTCAACAAAGTTTATTACTTTGAAAATAATCTGTAAATGAATATGGGAATTGGCATACGTCCGTTGGGGTGTAAATTGCACATTTCTGAGAGATGGACATTTCTCAGTCTCGTCACAATTTAAAGCTTGATTATGACTTACATACAGTACATGCCACAACCTTTCCTTCATCGATCCAACAATCAAAGCAACTATAAAGTCAGCAAACGATTGGTCTACTCTTGGTCATGACCCAAAAATGAAATGAAAACCAGAGTAAAACTTGGATTCAGCAGACGAATTCTATCAAACAACTGAAGTGATGGAGGGAGACAGGGTGAAGGCAGCTGGGTGTACGTCGCTTAGATTTTGGTTCTGAGATGGATTTGCTGTGGCATTCGGTTGCAAGTTCAAAAAGTTTTTTCTTACCCTGGAAACATTACAACGCGCACATCCAACTTAGCTTTAGTCTGGTCAATGAGGAAATGTGTCAACCAAGGAGCCTTAACCTAAAATATACATGCTTATATGCATTTCAATCTATAGGCGATATAATGCATGTCAGTTATATAAGGTCAGTTATGTAAGTAAACCTAACATGGTGTATTATAGAATAGGCAAAACCTGTTTCAGAACTTTAAAGACCATTATTTGCATGGTCATCGTAAAAGGTTGCCAATGACCATGTCAAATAACCTTAAAAAAAGGGGGGGCTGACTTATGCTGAAAGTGTAGGCCAAAAATTTATTTTAAAGGTAGAAAAATTGGTTACGTTAGGTACTGCGTTTTCCTCACACACCTACAACAAACTATATATACATACTTTAAGGACATGTCCTTGCACTGGTTCAACAGAGGAATCATTGGCCAGCTTTCTAGCACCGAGTCCTGTGCAATTCACGATAACATCAAACGGAAAAGCAACCTGTATATAATGAGTATAAGAATAAGACAAGGAAAATAGTAATTAATTCATTCTGTAGTGTAGAAATAATTAGGGTCTAAGATAAAATATTGCTTGTTTCCCCTTTACCGACCGACTCGCCAAAACGCCGCTACTTGACACATTTTATTGGCCGATTAAAACAAAACACAAATTATTTCGTTTTGCTAAAAAAAAATCAAATTCGTTCTGCAAAAACATATACACAAAACAGAATATACAATATACATACACACATCTTGTCAAAACAAAATAAAAAAGATTTTTCACCTACCTACCTACTCGGTACCCCGAGAGGCAAATAGGTAAAGGGGAAACAAAAAAATTTTTAAGGGTGGCCTAACATGCTAAATAATATGCTAATATCTTTCATTTTTAAATTCATTGTACCTGTTCAAAGTTTTTTACAGACATTTTTATCATGCTTCCTCCCTCCTGATGAAACCTAAAATTAAAAATATTAAATGATATATATACACACATACATAGACCTTGTCTGCAAAAGCATCAGTTCAGATGCTAACTCCATATGCTTGTATATGTATGTATTGAAATATATTATCAAAGATCAACTGTACATATCATAGTACAAATGTATTACCTTTTAATAAGCCACTTCATGTAATGTGGTGGATGAGCAAGAATTGTTGAATATGACCAGCCAGAGCTATATGAATATATATAATAATTTATACACATATATAATATATTTGAAATGATGAGTATAGCTGCATGACATTCAAATTTTTTTAATTATAAAGCATTTATCAAAGAGTAATTATCCAAACGCAGGACAAGAAGCAAAAATGCAAGCATTACATTAATGAGTGTACAACATGTTTATACCATGTGCCTATTAAAATGCATACCTGTGGGGAGGTAGGAATTTCTTAGCATTATCATCAGCTGTCAGGATCCGAAAGTTAAAAACAATGTCTGACCAAAACGGAACCTATCAAATCAGGTTAAAATTCATCATTAGCATATCCTCGATCCCCTACCACGAGTCAATCTACACCGTGTGAGTCATCCTCACAAGTGTCACTGAGAGGAAGTACAATTATAAAACGGTTTCCATTTATGCTCCCTTTGTGTTAGGATATCAATCAAAAGGGAACAAAACGTCACAATGAAAAGGAATTTAAGCGCAGTTCTTTAATTTTTGCCATCATTATAGGTAATGTAGCACCTTAACATCCATGTCTTCATTAAACAGCTGATATCCACTAATTAGCTGGATTCCACATTCTCCTGCTAATTCACCCATAAGCATTTCTGCATAATGCTCGAACGTTTCCGTTGCCCACTTCCTAAAAAGAAAAATACGATGCATTGTGGTGATAATTAATTCTCAGATAGTAGTGCTGCTTCAAGCACTTTTATCTGTGCTCGACGGTATACTTCCCATCCCCTTTCCCAAACAACATGTTTTGGATATAACTACCCAAACCCTAATTATAATATAACTGCGCGCCCTTGAAACTAAAATTGCCGAGTCACCAGCATAATGCAATAAAATAATTACAACAAAATCATAATGCCAACTGCAATATTTTCTAACCAATCCGAATTTTTCTCTTGTCTCATTCATTTTGAACACATTTGGTACCCGGTAGTGCATAGAGCAAGCAAAATTGCATGTATAACTCTGAGTATAACCACCTTTGCAATGACACATCAGTATTTCCTAGTATGTGTGGCTCCCAAATTCCTGCCGCGACATCACTTGTAAGATTCGGAGAGAACTCTTCTGCAATAATAGTCACTCTGGCTGTAGGAATTCTCTTCTGGATATTTACAGCTGTAGAAAGACCAATAACACCTGCACCAATAACGCAAATTTTCGGTTCCATGACTTCAATCCAACATCTGAAAAATGAGACGATAATATATATGATTATGAGCGCGATTGCCAAGTTTAGTCGCTGGTGCTGGTAAACGTGTGCGTTTCACCTGATACAGTTCAAAGTGCAACTACGAAAAACTTTTTTTCTCGCTATCAGAGTGTGCTCGTAGATAGCTCTAGTACTATAGGCCGCGTACAGTTGCCACTGGCAACGGCAGTAGGGTTTGTCTATATTCAGGCCGGTACAGGAGATAATTTGCATATTTTATCACGTGGTTTGTGTTATAACCAATCGGATGTAATCGCGTGTTCGTGACGTCACTTCCAGCTGTGAAGAAGATGGTGAAGGAGGAGGAAGGGGAGAAGGGAGAAGGTGGTGGAGAAGGAGAGGAGAAGCTGGTGGAGAAGGAGGAAGGGGAGAAGGGAGAAGGTGGTGGAGAAGGAGAGGAGAAGCTGGTGGAGAAGGAGGAAGGGGAGAAGGGAGAAGGTGGTGGAGAAGGAGAGGA